AGTTAGAGAATGGAAACGAAAAATTCAGATATTTTTATATGACCGCAAAATTTTTTTAGCGTCATATAATAAATTAATGCTATGGTGTCGTCGTCGTCCGAAGGCACATTTGGTTTCCTGACAATAAATTTAGTTTAATTGAATGGATCTCTAAGAAATTTTACCAGAAGGTTCAATACCACAAAAGGAAGGTTGGGATTGATTTTGGGGGTTATGGTACCAACAGTTTAGGAATTAGGGGCCAAAAACCAGCATTTTTGTAGTTTCCGGACAATAGCTTGTGTGTTAGTTTATAGATCTCTCATAAATTGTACCACAAGGTTTCATATCACAAAGGGAAGGCTGGGATTGAGTTTGGGGGTAATTGCCCCAACGGTTCAGGAATTAGGGGCAAAAAAGGGGCCAAAAACAAGCATTTTTCTAGTTTCCAGACAATAACTTGTGTTTAAGTGTATGGATCTCTCTAAAATTGTACTACAAGGTTCCATACCACAAAGGGAAGGCTGGGATTAATTTGGGGGTAATTACTCCAAGGGGGAGGGGGTTCAAAAAGTTTGGGGGGATTTTTTTTTCCAATTTTTTTTGGGGGGGTTCATATTATTTTTCTTCAAAATTTTTGAAATTTCAAATGATTGCACAATATTGCGCAATAGCAAGAAATCTTCAATTGCACAGTATTTCACAATAGCACAGTATTGGGCAATAGCTAGAAATTTTCAATTGCACAGTATTGTTTAGGGCTCTGTTTTCAAATTAGTCCATATTACGGTTTGAAGGGTCTAAAATTAAACTTTGTTTGATTTCAACTAAAATTAAATTTTTGGTGTTTTTTTATATGCTGAATCTAACCATGTTGTTAGATTTTGGATATCAGACCATTCTAGGTAAATTAAATGTCCCATTTCAAATTTTTAAGATCTTTGACCACATTTATTTTGTGTCAGAAACCTATCTATAATATGTCAAAAATTTGATCACAATCAAAATTCAGACAGTATCAAGCTTGAATATTGTGTCCAAACTTGCCCCAACTATTCAGGGTTAGACCTCTGCAGTCGTATCTTGCTGCGCTCAGCAAAGCATTTTATTCCATTTGTAAAGGGATTCAAACTTGATCTGTGTTTTGTGGTAATAAGCATTGTGTATCAGATTCATATCATTTGGCACTAGGATTGTCAGTTTTCCTATCGAAGGTCTGTGGTTTTCTCCGGGCACTCCGGCTTCCTCCACCAATAAAAACTGGCGGCCACGAAATAGCCCAAAAGCGGTGCTTAAAAGTGGCGTTAAAACACCAAAAATCAAAATCAAATCATATCATTTGGTTGAGGCAAACTAAAGTTAGAGAATGGAAACGAAAAATTCTGTAATTTTTATACGACTGCAAAAAATTTGCGTTCGTATATAGCTATCACGTCGTCGTCTGAAGACATTTGGTTTCAGGACAATAACTTTAGTTTAAGTGTATGGATCTCTATGAAATTTAATCAAAAGGTTCAATACCACAAAAGGACGGTTGGGATTGTTTTTAGGGGTGATGGTCCCAACCGTTTTGGAATTAGGGGCCAAAAAGGGGCCCAAAACAAGCATTTTTCTAGTTTCAGGACAATAACTTGTGTATAAGTATTTTAATTTCTCTGAAATTGTACCACAAGGTTCAATACCACTAGTAGAAGGTTGTGATTCATTTTGGGGGTAATTGCCCAAACCGTTCAGGAATTAGGGGCCAAAACTAGCATTTTTAACCGTATTTTATAAGGAAAAATCGGTTATTGATTAGGGATGTACGGTGGGCGGCGGACGGATGGGCTGGAGGCTGCCAAACAGTGTCCGTTCATTAACATGAAAACACTTCGACGAAATTTTTTCAAATTTATATATGTTGTTTCCTGTGACTAAATAAAGGTCAAGTTCAATTTTCAGGATTTTAGCTTTTCTCGTTCACTCACTCACTCACTCACTAACGTTTTTTTTTTTGATGAAGTGAATTCCTTTAAAAACTAAGCTTATATTGTCTATTAATAAACATATATTTAGATTTCTGAGTTTTGTTTAATTTCATCAAAAATTTAATTCTTGAGGTTCTTTGATATGCTGATTCTAATAATGTTTTTGTGGTTAAATCATATCTAATTTTATTGATTATAATTGGAAAATATATAACATCATATCTAATTTTAGAGAACTATTTTTTAGTGGTTAAATCATGTCTAATTTTAGAGAACTATTTGTTTATCATTTATTCAGTTTGAGTTATTTCCCTTTGAACAGAAAATTAATAAGTATATTGATAAAATTAAACTGTGTTTCATTTAAACATAAAATAAATATATATAGGGTTCTTTCAAATGCTGAATCTAAATCTGTATTTAAATATTGGGTTTTTGGGCCCAGTTTCCTAGTTGGTCCAAATCAGGGTCCAAAATTAAACTTTTTTTGATTTCAAAAAAAATTGAATTGATGGGTTTTTTTTAAATGCTGAATCTAACCATGTATTTAGAGATTTTGGATTTTGGGCTCCTTTATCAAATTGGTCCACATTGAGGTCCAAAGTGTTCTAAATTAAACTTTTGTTTGATTTAATCAAAAATTGAATTCTTGGGGTTCTTTGATATGCTGATTCTAACAATGTACTTAGATTTTGGATATCGGACCATAATAGGTAAATGTCCAATTTCAAATTTTTCAGTTCTTTGAGCACATTTATTTTGTGTCACAAACCTATGCTGTGTCAAATATTCAATCACAATTCGAATTCAGAGCTGTTTTAAGCTTAAATGTAGTGTCCATACTTGCTCAACTGTTCAGGGTTCGACCTCTGCAGGAAATCCGGTTTGCTGTCACTCTGACAGCCTCTTGTATTGATTATAATTTGAAAATAGATATAACATCATATCTAATTTTAGAGAACTATTTTTCGTGGTTAAATCATATCTAATTTTAGAGAACTATTTGTATATCATTTATTCAGTTTGAGGTATTTCCATTTGAACAGAAAATTAATAAGTATATGGATAAAATTAAACTGTGTTTCATTTCAACATAAATTAATTATGTATAGGGTTCTTTCAAATGCTGAATCTAAACCTGTATTTAAATATTGGATTTTTGGGCACAGTTTTCATGTTGGTCCAAATCAGGGTCCAAAATTAAACTTTGTTTGATTTCAACAAAAATTGAATTGATGGGGTTCTTTGAAATGCTGAATCTAACCATGTATATTGAGATTTTGGATTTTGGACTCCTTTATCAAATTGGTCCACATTGAGGTCCAAATTAAGGGTCCTAAATTAAACTTTTGTTTGATTTCATCAAAAATTGAATTCTTGGGGTTCTTTGATATGCTGATTCTAACAATGTACTTAGATTTTGGATATTGGACCATAATAGGTAAATGTCCAATTTCAAATTTTTCAGTTCTTTGACCACATTTATTTTGCGTCACAAACCTATGCTGTGTCAAATATTCATTCTAGTTTTCAGACATTGAATAACTTGTGTTTAAGTGTATGGATGTCTCTCAAATTGTACCACATTTTACAAAAAGAAAATTTCTTCAAATATTATTTTTTTTGGAAGTGGGGGGAGTAAAAAAATTAAATTTTTTTTGGAGGGGGGGGGGGGTCAATTTTTTTCCCCTAAAGATTTAATAAATTATCAATTTTCCAAAAAAAAAATTGGGGGTCACAATTTTTTTTTCTTATTCTTTGTATATAGTCTGAAAACAGATTTACTAAGTATTGCGCAACAGCACAGTGTATTGCACAACAGCAAGAAATCTTCAATTGAATATAAATTAAAATCATATAACCAATTTAAACAAGCATTTTTCTAGTTTTCAGACAATAACTTGTGTTTAAGTGTATGGATGTCTGAAGTCTCTTAAATTGTACCACATTTTACAAAAAGAAAATTTCTTCAAATATTATTTTTTTTGGAAGTGGGGGGGAGTAAAAAAATTCAATTTTTTTTTTTTGGGGGGGGGGTCAATTTTTTTCCTAAAGATTTAATAAATTATCAATTTTCCAAAAAAAAAATTGGGGGTCACAATTTATTTTGCAAATTCTTTGTATATAGTCTTAAAACAGATTTACTAAGTATTGCGCAACAGCACAGTGTATTGCACAACAGCAAGAAATCTTCAATTGAATATAAATTCAAATCATACAACCAATTGCAAGTTCTTTGACTACATTTATTCTGTGTCAGAAACCTATAATGTGTCAAATATTTAATTACAATCCAAATTCAGACCTGTATCAAGCTTGTATATTGTGTCCATTTTTGCCCCAACTGTTAAGGGTTGGACCTCTGCGGTCGTATCCAGCTGTGCTCGGCGAAGCACATTTATTCTATTTGTAAAAGGACATTACTCTAGAAAGGTAAAAGTGACGCCACCAAAATTCAAACTTCATCTGTGTTTTGTGGTAATAAGCATTGTGTATAAGTTTCATAACATTTGGTTGAGGCAAACTAAAGTTAGAGAACGGAAAACCAATGTCGGGACGTACAGACGTACAAGGGTAAAACTTAATACCCCCTCCGCTACGGCGGGAGCATGAAAATGATCAGCAGGATAAGATCTACAAATACGTGAACTTGGCTGAAATTTTCAGTTTACTCTTAATACTGTTTTTCCCCTTTAATGATGATTTTTACAAAAAAAGTGGCAATTGTTGAAGATGCAGGTGAGCGACACAGGCTCTTTAGAGCCTCTAATATACTACTGTTGCCTTTATTTAGTTGAACTAAAGTAAGTTTGTGTTATTTCACTTTGACCTTAGTTTCCTAATTTATGGCCTAATTTGTGGTATGTATGACAAAAAAATATCTACAATGTATAGTTTGTTATAGTTTTTGGTCATATAAAATAAACCAATCATTAGGTCATACATAATAAGTCATTTTGTGGTATTGCACTAACTATGTTAAATTGCTATAGTAAGTTGAAACATATTTCTATGTTAATAGTTTATGATAATGGACTTTGAAAATATTTGCAGGTTATCCACAAAGATAAATTAAAAGAACCAGTCAGCATTGAATTAGTTGAATCATGTCTTGGAATGTTAGCAAATCTAACATACGAACCATCTCAAAATATGAAGGAATTTAGTTTGCCTATTTGTAAAAATTGTTTAGAATTATGTTCAAAGTTCAAGCATTACAAACTGATAGTTCAAAGAGCATTTACTATTCTCGGCCATATTCTGCCACATTCCATTCCAACAGTAGATTGGTTCTGTGAAAATGCAGGGCATGAACTTTTGCTGTATTGTATAAAGGTAAGTGCCATTATGACCTCTGGAGCTCTGGAGCATTTTATTTTATAAGTTTTGTTTGGTTTTATGGTATGCCATCTGTCTTTGAGTCAATTTTCATATTCAATAATTGATATATAAAAATATGTGTTGGGTTATTTATAATATAACATTATACATGTTTTGGAAGAGATCTTATAACAGTATGATCCTTTCCATTACACAGGTGAACAAATTCTTCATATCCTCTTAAATAATATTTAAGCTTTCTCCAGGATAAAATTTATTTAGAATTAAAATAAATTGAAATACTACATTTCATTTTAAATGCTAACTTTCCTGCTTTTCGAATAAAGCCAATGCCTTTCCCTCCTCAAAAATTACTGTGTTACAAATTACTCAGTTTCTAGAATGATTTGAATGATTGATTAAAAGAGCTATTGCCCTTAAACACAACTGTTTCTTGCCTGCCTCAAAGTTCAGAAGCGAGACTTGTATATAAAAATAAGAAGATGTCGTCTGATTGCCACTGGGAGAAATTTTCACCAGAGACAAAGTTACATAGAAGTAAGCACTGACAGTATTGCCTTCAACAATGAGCAAAACCCATACAGCATAGTAAGCTATAAAAATCCCTGACATGACAAATGTAAAACAAATGTAAAAAATAAAATTACACTTGCTGTTGTCATGTTAGCAGAGTCAACAATTTGTTAAAAGTTTGTGATTAGGTCAGTATAAGTGGAACCACTAATGGTAAGTCAATGATATTTGGTATGCAGTTGTATGAGCACATATCATTTCATTGGATATCATTTTGCCCTGCCCCCTCAGTCATAGTCAATTGACTTTGAAATGTTTTGCATAGTTAACATGTTAAAGTTTCCAAAATGACCAGTTTAAGTGGAACCAATAATGGTCTAGTCAAAGATATTTGGTATGCAGTTGTATTAGCATTTCTCTTATGGTTGTGGCTTGTTATCTATTTCTTGCATGAAGAGATATTTCTCGTATCACACTACACGGAGTGTGATAAGAAAAAGTGATACGAAAACTGCGTTAAGTTGATTGGCTATTCCAGCATCATGAGACAATATTACGACATTTCCATTGGCTATTCCTTAGGTCATTGATGTCTCTCAAAGGTTACAACAATGTACATTTCGTCCCTTGCAACGGACATATGCGATTTCTTCAATGATACACAAAAAATTCTCACTTTTCACCTGACAATCTTTTTTTTGTCGAACCTGTGAAATTTATTTCACGAAAGCGAAAATATAGCGATCCTAAATTCTGTCATCGGCATCGCCAACATTTAAGTTCAGTCTGTGGTTAAATTTTTTTTAGACATCAACAACTTTGTCAGATCTACATGGAACTTTATGAAATTTTGACAGAAGCTTGTTTATGACCAAAAATACAGTATCCAGAGCAAGATTTTTAAAATATTTATTTATATTTTCTGTATTTTACTGATAAATGGACTTAGTTTTTTTGCTCACCTTACCCAAAGGACTAAGTGAGCTTTTCTCATCACTTGGCGTCCATCGTCCGTTTTCGTCCTCTGTTAACTTTTACAAAAATCTTCTCCTCTGAAACTACTTAGCCAAATTTAACCAAACTTGGCCACAATCATCATTGGGGTATCTAGTTTAAACAAATGTGTCCGATGACGCCGCCTGCCAACCAAGATGGCTGATATGGCTAAAATTAGAACATAGGGGTAAAATGCAAGCTTTGTCTATTATTTTGAAAACCGTTACAAATAGAGAAATTCAGACAGCATTAAAAATGTTCAGAATGTTGAGCTCTACCAATTGTCCATATATGTCAAAACTGTCAGACAACTTACTATAGGAGTTATTGCCCTTAAATGACAAATTTTACCATTTTTTTTCATTTTTATCTACTATCTTGAAAACTATAATAGAGAGAAGCTTTAAATTTTTTGGTATGCAGTTGTATTAACATGTATCTCATGTCCATGAAAATTATTTGGCCTCGCATACTCAGTCATGTCCATAGACTTTGAAAGTTTTGCATTTTTAGCCATTTTTTTTGCAAAGAGGCATAGTGAGTGATCCAAACTTCATAGAAACTCTAAAATACCAAGCAGTTTTTTCATAAACAATATATGCATTATGGAAAAATTATGAAATGCTTCCGCAATATATTGATTTTGCCATTTATTGTTTCATTGCTTTCATGTCTATTGTAGAATTATACTGTGAGAAAAGGCTTCACATTGTTGGTAAATAACATGTAATCCATACTATATGTAATACACATTGTTGGTAAATAATATGTAATCCATACTATATGTAATACACATTGTTGGTAAATAATATGTAATCCGTACTATATGTAATACACATTGTTGGTAAATAATATGTAATCCGTACTAGATGTAGAAATATTTCTTGAAAAGTAGATGCAGATTCTTATAATTTTTTTTAGAATGAAGAAGAATTGGAAGAAAATAAGAAATCGGCATTAAAGGGTTTAGCAGGATGTACTCAAATAAATGATCAGGCTAGAATATTTATTGTTGATCACAAAGGTATTATTATCTATCAACATGTACAACATAGATTTCAGGAGGATCTTTTCTCATTCCATCCATGCATGTGCAATATTTTAATAGTCTTATATTTACTGTTTGCAAAATTATAAATTATTCTAAATAATAAGGATGTTCTTGTTCCAGGCAGAAAAGCCTGGCCGTGTTAGGCGCAACTTTTTGGAAGTTTTGGTCCTCGGTGCTCTTCAGCTTTGCACTTGTTTTGGCTTTCAAACTTTTTTTCATTTGAGCGTCACTGGTTGGTCTTGTGTGGACGAGACGCACGTCTGGCGTATTGAATTTTAAGCCTAGTACCTTTTGTTAGCTATTATTCGTGTGTTTCTTTGTCCTATATGTTCTCCCATTTATTTGTATTGTGGTCCTGTCATGTGGTGTTGTCGTTTTGGTATTGTGTTTGACGTTGCCATAAAAGCAGGAGGTTTGGCATGCCACAAAACCAGGTTCAACCCACCATTTTTTTCTTAAAATGTCCTGTACCAAGTCAGGAAAATGGCCATTTATATATTATAGTTCGTTTCTATGTGTTACATTTTAATGTTGTGTTTTTGTTGTGTCGTTGTTCTCCTCTTATATTTGATGCGTTTCCCTCAGTTTTAGTTTGTAACCCGGATTTGTTTTTATCTCTATCGATTTATGAGTTTCGAACAGCAGTATACTACTGTTGCCTTTATTTATATCATATCTGTAGTTACGAGAATGGCTGATATTTGGTAGTTTCTGTTCAACTTATTTACTACTTGTCCAAACTCTGGTTAATTTAGAGCTTGATATATAAAAATAAACATAATATATGTGGCAGTGATGTATTAGATTTCAATGATTGTAATATATGTATTACTCAAAAAAAAGTTTTACTTAATTTTATCACAAATACATATATTTATTGAGGAAGTAGGATTTCACCTGCAGGAACGTAATTAATTAATAAAAAGTGGTATATGCATCCATAAACTTAAAAAAAAAAACAACCAAAAAACAAACATTTGTTCCTAAAAAAATCTATTTAAATTGGGATTATAACTTATAAATTTTTTTTTAAATATGAACATAAAACTTGTGTATAAAAAAATCAATGACAAGAGTTGGATTGAAAAGATCTGACATAATTAGATATTAATAAATTGTTTGGTGTTTCAATTTATTATGGCCTTTTGCTTTGTCTGATTTTTTGTCGAGCCTACGACTTTTGTCGCAAAAGCTAGACATAGCGATCCTACATTCCGTCAGCGGTGTCGGCAGCGTCCACAAATATTCACTCTGTGGTTAAAGTTTTCAATATTTTAATAACTTTCTTAAACTATCCTGGATTATTTGTACCAAACTTGGACAGAAGCTTGTTTATGATCAAAAGCTAGTATCTAGAAGGAAATTTTGTAAAACTTTTTTTCCTGTTTTTCCGTATATTACTTATAAATGGACTTAGTTTTTCTTCTAATTAACATTACATACAGTCTGCAGTTAAAGTTTTTAAAACATTTATTGGATGCATAAACCATCCTGGATTCTTACCAAACCTGAACAGAAGCTTCTTACATTCAAAAGATAGTATCTAGAGGAAAAATTTTAATAATTATTTCCCCATTTTTGCTGAGCCTGCGACTAACAGCAAAAGTAGGCGAGACACTGGGTTCTGCAGAACCCTTACAAATTTTTTTACGAGTGCAAAAAAATTTTGGGATCATATATTGGTATGGCGTCGGCGTCGTCCGAAGACACATTGGTTTTCGCACTTTAACTTTAGTTTAAGTAAATGGATCTCTATGAAATTTTACTATAAGGTTCAATACCACAAAAGGAAGCTTGGGATTGATTTTGGGGGTTATGGTACCAACAGTTAAGGAATTAGGGGCCAAAAAGGGGCCAACAATAAGCATTTTTGTAACTTCCAGACATAACTTGTATATTAGTGTATGGATCTCGCTGACATTGTACCACAAGGTTCCATATCACAAAGGGAATGCTGGGATTGATTTGGGGGTAAATCGCCTCAGAATTTTAGGAATTAGGGGCCAAAAAAGGGGCAAAAAACAAGCATTTTTCTAGTTTCATGATAATAACTTGTGTGTAAGTGTATGGATCTTTCTGAAATTGTACTACAAGGTTCCATATCACAAAGGGAAAGATGGAATCGAGTTTGGGGGTAATTGCCCAAAACATTTAGGAATAAGGGGCCAAAAATAAGCATTTTTCTAGTTTCCAGACAATAACTTGTGTTCAAGTGTATGGATCTCTCTGAAATTGTACTGCAAGGTACCATACCACAAAGGGAAGGCTGGGATTGATATTTGGGGTAATTGCCTCAAAATTTTAGGAATAAGGGGCAAAAAAGGGGCAAAAAACAAGCATTTTTCTAGTTTCAGGACAATAACTTGTGTGTAAGTGTATAAATCTTTATGAAATTGTACTACAAGGTTTCATATCACAAAGGGAAAGCTGGGTGTGAGTTTGGGGGTAATTGCCCTAAACGTTAAGGAATTTGGGGTAAAAAAACAAGCATTTTTCTATATTCCAGACAATAGCTTATGTTCAAGTGTATGGATCTCTCTGAAATTGTACTGCAAGGTACCATACCACAAAGGGAAGGCTGAGATTTAGTTTGGGGGTGATGAATCATAAGGGGGTTCAAAAATTTCGGGGGGGGGGGGGGATTTTTTTTCCTTTTTTCTTTTTCCCTTTTTTTCCTTTTTTTTTTTCTTTAAAATTTTCCATTTTAAGTTGGTTATTTCTGATTTATATATAAAAGCAAATAATAATGATATGGTTTGAATAGGTAAATAAAAAATTTTTTAAGTTCTTAGACCACATTCATTCTGTGTCAGAAACCTATGCCGTGTCAAATATTTAATAACAATCCAAATTCAGAGCTGTAACAAGCTTGAATGTTGTGTCCATACTTGCCCCAACTGTTCAGGGTAAATATTTCACATGGTGTATTTGTATGGATTGATTTACTGGAAACTTTACATAATTGGTGGAATTGGTGAAAATAACAACCATTTCAGTTTTCATAAATTCCGATATTTCATTCCAGAGTTATTGGACTTTGGGGGTCAGATAAATAAAATACATTTTTTTAATGTCATGCACTAGCTCTAGTTTGCTTGAATCAAATTACATGTATTGCAAACTTAAAACTGTTGTTGGCATTGGTGAACGAGATTTGGCTTTGACTTGGTTGTTTGCCATTTCAGATTTATGGGAATTTTAACAGTCATATTTGACACAATAGGTATCCAAATGCATGTTTTTCTGTAGAGCCATTTGATTTGCTTCTGATAACATAATTAAATGCCTTCTAAATATCCCATTTTATTCTTGCAACAATTTCAATATGTACAATCAGGGGTATCATGCACTCTTATGGCAGCTGCTTATTGTCTTTCATGAAATAGCCTTTCTATGACTGAATGATAAGCTGTTGCGTAAAGCAACTCTATTTGTTACATCTTTATAATCAGAATGGTCAAGACCAATATGTGATAAAAGGTTTCCTATTTACCAATATTGCCTTGCCTAAATACCTTAGTGATCCTTCTGTAAATATGAATAAAAAAAAAGATATTTTAAAGTTATGAAGAAAGCAGGCATAATGATGTGGTTCATAAGTGTTTCTCGTTTCTCGTTTTTGTCGAGCCTTCGACTTTTGTCGAAAAAGCGAGACATAGCGATCCTACATTCCGTCATCGTCGTCGTTGGCCGCGTCCACAAATATTCATTCTGTGGTTAAAGTTTTTGAAATTTTAATAACTTTCTTAAACTATCCTGGATATCTACCAAACTTGGACAGAAGCTTGTTTATGATCATAAGATAATATTCATAAGTAAATTTTGTAAAAAAAAAATTCTATTTTTTCCGTATTTTACTCATAAATGGACTTAGTTTTTCTGCCAGGAAACATAACATTCACTCTGTGGTTAAAGTTTTTGAAATTTTAATAACTTTCTTAAACTATCTTAGATTTCTACTAAACTTGGAAAGAAGCTTGTTTATGATCATAAGATAGTATCCAGAAGTAAATTTTGTAAAAAAAAAATTCCCATTTTTTCCGTATTTTACTTATAAATTGGCTTAGTTTTTCTGCCAGTTAACATTACATTCACTCTGTGGTTAAAGTTTTTAAAATTTTAACAACTTTCTTAAACTATCTTGGATTTGTACCAAACTTGGACAGAAGCTTGTTTATTATAAAAAGCTAGTATCTAGAAGGAAATTTTGTTAAAATTTTGTTCCATTTTTTCCGTATTTTACTTATAAATGAACTTAGTTTTTCTTCCAGTTAACATTACATACAGTCTGCAGTTTAAGTTTTTAAAACATTTATTAGATTCATAAACTATCCTGGATTTTTACCAAACTTGGACAGAAGCTACTTACAATCAAAAGATAGTATAGAGAGGAATATTTTTATTAATTTTTTTTTTCATTTTTGTTGAGCCTGCTATTAACAGCAAAAGTAGGCGAGACACTGGGTTCTTCGGAACCCTTATGAATTTTTTATATAGATTAGACCGTTGGTTTTTCGTGTTTGAATGGTTTTACACTAGTCATTTTTGGAGCCCTTTACAGCTTGCTGTTCGGTGTGAGCCAAGGCTCAGTTTTGAAGGCTGTACTTTGACCTATAATGGTTTACTTTTACAAATTGTGACTTGGATGGAGAGTTGTCTCATTGGCACTCATACCACATCTTCTTATATCTATATATGTATATTCATGTGAATCCATTAAACTGTTGATTTTATCAAACTGTTGATTTTATCAAAATAAAGTTAAAACATTTTTCCTTTTTCTGAACTCTGCCAATAAAGTGAATAAACCTGCATTAGACTTTTCCTCATTTTGCCATAAAATAAGAAACAAGTAGCATGTAAAACTGATGTAGAAACACTGACTGGAATAAACAGTTAATAAAACGACTGTTCATACATTTATGGAAGTATACAAGACACTCAAACTGCATTTAAAACTTCTGTTTTACTATCATTTTTATAACCACTATACCTCTTGATATGATAAAAATGGCATTCTAACATAAACTAAATGGAAATAAACTCGTCATATATACCAGGCTTTAAATTTTGTGCACCAGAAGTAACACTACTAAAGCATGTAATTTATTATGGTGTCTCAATTTATGATGCCAAATCACAGTGAGATTTTTTTTTAATACCTGATGAACAAGGAAGATTTTGGAGATGAGTATTCTGGCCTGATAATAACTGAAAATATAAAACTTTGCCAAAGACAGGATAATAATATTTTGTCCAAAGATGCATGCAGGAAAATCCAGGATATAGTTGCACAATGGTTGAAATAAATTTGCCATGTGAAATGAATAAACCATACTAGCAACAGGTGAAAATGAATAGTGTGTTTACTTTTAAGGAGTTGGCCCAGTAAGACCCCTTTTTGGCCCCAAAATATAGCATTTTTACAAATTTGTTAAAAATGTAAACTTTTAGCTATTTATTGGAATCATTGGAAAGTAGAATACTCTTGTTACATAAATATCAGCTGTTTTTATAAGCCCGTTTACGGGACGTATTATTGTATAATGTTGTCCGTCTGTCTGTCGTACCGTCCGTCTGTCTGTCCGTCATCAACATGTTAGACAATAACTCAAAAACACTTTAACCAATTTCCATGAAACTTTGGTGAATTGTTTATATCTATTGACGTGAGCTCCCTTTTGATTTTTATACATTTTAGATTTTACGTTTCAGAGTTATGGGGTGTTATTCATTAAAAAAGGGGATTTTCCAGCTTTTGGACAATAACTCAAAAATGCTTTTAGCAGTTTTCATTAAACTTTGGTGAATTGTTTATATCTATTGACGTGAGCTCCCTTTTGATTTTTATAAATTTTAGATTTTACGTTTCCAAGTTATGGGGTTTTATTCATTAAAAAAGGTGGATTTTCCATTTTTTTCGGACAATAACTCAAAATTGCATTGAGCAATGATGACTGGTTTATATCTATTAAAATAACCTCCCTTCAGTTTTTAGCTCACCGGGGTCCGAAGGGCCCCATGTGAGCTTATGCCATCACTTGGCGTCCGTCGTCGTCGTCTGTCGTCGTAAACTATTTCAAAAATCTTCTCTGAAACTACTGGGCAAAATACCTTCAAACTTTAACTAAATGTTCCTTAGGGTATCTAGTTTATAAATTGTATCCGAAGTTTTGATCCATCGACAAACATGGCCGCCATGGCTAAAAATGGAACATAGGGGTCAAATGCAGTTTTTGGCATATATCTCAAAAACTAAAGCTTTTAGAGCAAATCTGACATGGGTAAAATTGTTCAATTGGTCAAAATCTATCAGCTCTGAAATTTTCAGACGAATCTAACAACCCATTGTTGAGTTGCTGCCACCGAATTGGTAGTTTTAACAAAATTTGCAGTTTTTTGTTATTATTTTGAATATTATTATAAATATATATAAACTGTAAGCAGCAATAATGTTCAGCAAAGTAAGATCTACAAAAAAGTTAAGATGACCATAATTGTCAATTGACCCCTTAAGGAGTTATTGCCCTTTAAAGACAATTTTACACAATTTGTTCATCAAGTTTGCTAACATTTAAAAATCTTCTCCTCTGAAACTACTGGGCCAATTACCTTCAAACTTTAACTAAATGTTCCTTGGGGTATCTTGTTTATAAATTGTATCCGAAGTTTGTATCCATCGACAAACATGGCCGCCATGGCTAAAAATAGAACATAAGGGTCAAATGCAGTTTTTGGCTTATATCTCAAAAACTAAATCTTTTAGAGCAAATGTGACATGGGGTAAAATTGTTTAATTGGTCAAGATCTATCGGCCCTGAAATTATCAGACGAATCGAACAACCCATTGTTGGGTTGCTGCCACCGAATTGGTAATTTTAACAAAATTTTGCAGTTTTTGTCGAGCCTGCGACTTTTGTCGCAGAAAGCTCGACATAGGGATAGTGATCCGGCGGCGGCGGCTACGGCAGCGGCGGCGTTAGCTAACTTCTTAAAAGCTTTATATTTTAGAAGGTGGAAGACCTGGATGCTTCATACTTTGTATATGGATGCCTCATGTTATGAAGTTTCCGTCGGTCACATGTCCAATGTCCTTGACCTCATTTTCATGGTTCAGTGACTACTTGAAAAAAAAGTTAAGATTTTTTGTAATGTTAAATTCTCTCTTATTATAAGTAATAGGATAACTATATTTGGTATGTGCGTACCTTGCAAGGTCCTCATGCCTGTCAGACAGTTTCCACTTGACCTCGACCTCATTTCATGGATCAGTGAACAAGGTTAAGTTTTGGTGGTCAAGTCCATATCTCAGATACTATAAGCAATAGGTCTAGTATATTCGGTGTATGGAAGGACTGTAAGGTGTACATGTCCAACTGGCAGGTGTCATCTGACCTTGACCTCATTTTCATGGTTCAGTGGTTATAGTTAAGTTTTTGTGTTTTGGTCTGTTTTTCTTATACTGTATGCAATAGGTCTACTATATTTGGTGTATGGAATGATTGTAAGGTGTACATGTCTAGCTGGCAGGTGTCATCTGACCTTGACCTCATTTTCATGGTTCAGTGGTTATAGTTTAGTTTTTGTGTTTTGGTCCGTTTTTCTTATACTTTATGCAATAGGTCTTCTATATTTGGTGTATGGAATGATTGTAAGGTGTACATGTCCAACTGGCAGGTGTCATCTGACTTTGACCCCATTTTCATGGTTCAGTGGTCAAAGTTAAGTTTTTGAGTTTTGGTCTTTTTTCTTATACTATATGCAATAAGTCAACTATATTTGGTGTATGGAAATATTCTATGATGTACATGTCAGTCTCGCAGGTTTTATTTGACCTTGACCTCATTTTCACGGTTCATTGCTCAGTGTGAAGTTTATGTGTTTCAGTCTGTTTTTCTTAAACTATAAGCAATAGGTCAGCTATATTTGTTGTATGGAAGGATTGTAAGCTGTTCATGTCTGCCTGGCATGGTTCATCTGACCTTGACCTCATTTTCACGATTCGTTGGTCAATGTTTAGTTTTCATGGTTAAGTCTGTTTCTTAGAAACTATAATCAATAGGTCAACTATATTTAGTGTATTGAATGATTGTAAGGTGTACATGTATTTCTCGTTTGGTTTATATGACCTTGACTTCATTTTCTTGGATCATGTTAAGTTTATGTAATAGTTGTAGTAAAGCTTTCATTTAGGACTATCAACATAACATAAATGGTTAGTAAAGAAGGCGAGACATTTCAGCGTGTGCACTCTTGTTTGTTATTATTTTGATTATTATTATAGATATATATAAACTGTAAGCAGCAATAATGTTCAGCAAAGTAAGATCTACAAAAAAGTTATATGACCAAAATTGTCAATTGACCCCTTAAGGAGTTATTGCCCTTTAAAGACAATTATAAACAATTTGTTCATCAAGTTTGCTAACATTTAAAAATCTTCTCCTCTGAAATACAGGTGAGCGATTCAGGCTCTTGAGAGCCTCTTGTTTTATATATTTCTGATATGACATTGAGTAGTTATGGAAATTTATTCTTTGAAAAAGTGACGGACGTATCATGCGCTCATGGCGCAGCTCTTTATTTGACAATACAATGCACATGCATCAGGTACTAGCATCATTAATTCATGCAAAACTATTTTAATCTTCACAATTTTAGCATTTGTGCCAAATTTTAGACGGTTTTAGTTTAAAATGTAAGTGGCCACACTTGTGTTCAGCCTTAATACATGTATTTAAATATATGTTGTATTTGATGATAAAACATAACATATATAAAGGTTGAGACTGAAAACGAATGCGGCCACTACATTTAAGACAAAAACCATTTGAAAAGTGACGTTTTATGGCATATTTGATAGATTTTTCATATTTAAGCTTGAATTTGAGTATCTGTAATGACCGAATCAGTTCAAATCTATTACATAAACTGATTGAATCGCCTGAAGTAGACACTTGAGTGTTTTAAAATGTCAAAAATCTTTAATCTGATATACTTCAAATTTTAGGCCTAAATTAGCCCTTACCTGACCTACTCCTTTTCATTCTTAATAATTTATTATTTATAGGATCTGTTATTTTAAAAGACTATAGACATACCCAAAGCATTGACAAAAAAACGACCCAAAATTCGGAATCTGGTGAGAATTTGTTTGCCCAGTGACAATGTGGGGGCATGGGGTATGTGAGCGTGCTCAGAAAAGTTCTTTAATTTAGTTAAATGTCATTTCCACCCCTAAACCATATATATTCTAAATTTCTTTTAGTGCTCTATTCATTTTTGCCTTTCCATTTGCCAATGTAACTTTTAATGATAAAGAAGTTATATTTCAGTCCACTTAAACAGCTCCTCCTAGTGCATTTGGAATTATGTGCTGGAAAAATAAATGAATTGCAGATAAATCTTGTGACATCTTCCTTCAAATTTTATCATAATATTCAAACAACAAAATACTTTGATCATAAAAATAACCAAGAAACATCAATAACAGAACCCATGCATCAAAAACTTTTTGTGGCAAACATGATAAAGAAATGAATGACTATTTCATCTGCTATAACTTTCTTTTAATTTTTTTTTTAAATGCAATTTCAGGTTTGGGTACTTTGGTTAAATCCATTAAGAGTTGTGATGAAAGTGTAATTGGCAATGCAGCTCTTTGTTTAGGTCACTGCACGCAAATTCCAAAAGTTTGTGCAGCTCTTACAAAAACAGATATTATGAAGGATCTTCTTGTATTAGCCAGAGATGGAAAACGCCCACAGTTACAAAAGAACTGTGCTATACTGATAGCAAAACTTGCTCAGGGTGACACTAGGTTTGTGCATAAATTTTATAATATTCATCTGTGTTCGCCTAGAAGGTGAAGTTTTTTTCTCTCTAATACCCTTTATACATTCATCACAAGAAAATAAAAAGTTTAAGTTTTGGATCCTTTTAAAAATATCAACACTTAATTAACTCCAGGCTTTTAGGTCTTGATGTTCCACAAGCCTGAATTCTGGGACTTGGCTTACAGTGCAATTATGCATTCCTTCAGTAAAAGAGAGGCGATTGATACCAATGTTGAGAATAGTACAAAGTAATAACGTTATGTTTCCCGTATTTACGTTCACATGTTTGTGACGTTACTTGCACCTTGTATGGGCTTCGCCATTGTAAATAATATACGCAAAGTAAACACAACGCAAAGTACATATACAACTTACTTAGTTTATTCCATACATTTATGGTGCCGTGACCAGGATAAGATGAACAGCAAGCTAAAAGCTGTCAGAGCCGGTCACAAAAGTGCAGTAAAGAGACTTTTACAGAAAGCAGAAGATGATGATACAAACTTGGACAATGAAGAAAGTGCTGAACTTTTAGAAACATTAATTCAAAAACAGAAAACTATTAGTGCATTGGAAGAAGATATTATGAATTCTTTAAAGGAAGAGGACATCGAGTGAGAAATTCTTAATGCAGATGAGTACAAATTCTTTTTGAACACCAAAATATGATATATACGGAAAACATTCACAAACAAAGTATGTACTGATGTCCCACAGCATGATCACGCATTACCTTCTCACACTTTTGAAAACATTAATCAACACAGTTCTGTTCCATACACAACACAAATGTATCCCGTACAGCAACCTAGCAACCAAAATCACCATTTGCCGAAACTTACACTACCCATGTTTAAAGGAGAAATTCTGACTTGGCAAACATTTTTGGACTCTTTTGAATCTTCCGTCCATTACAATGTAACACTCACAGATGTACAGAAATTTAGTTATTTAAAATCCCAGCTTGTTAATGATGCTGCAAGAACTATTGACGGATTACCGCTCACAAACTCAAATTACATGGAAGCTATTAAACTTTTAAAGGAGGGCTTCGGACAATCGCATAAGATTACAAATGCTTATATGCAAGCTATGCTAGAACTTAGAGCACCACAAAACAACCTACTCAGTCTACGCGGTTATTACGACAAGTTGGAGGCATATATAAGAGGTCTTGAATCGTATGGTGCATTACTTATTCCGATAATACTGAACAAGCTTCCGTCAGAAATACAACAACACTTAGCCCGTGAAAACAGTACCGATAGTTAGGAATTGATTGATTTGAGACGTGGAATTTTGAAAGTAATCACTATAATTGAAGCTAATAGAAAAGGTGAACTGAGTAAAGTAGATACATTTGATAACTGTGAGAGACAAACACCAAATATTCGACAAAAACCTTGCATATTCTGCCAGAATTTACATAACCCTGCAAAATGCTCAAATGTTACAGATAACGACAAACGCCTATCAATCGTCAAACAAAAGAAGTTATGTTTTAACTGCTTAGGATCACACTGTTCCGTAGATTGTAAATCGAAATTTGGCTGCCGCCAGTGCCATAAAAAACACCACACAAGTCTTTGCCATGAAAATACATGTACTGATAATAGGCAAACGTCAGTAAATGCCGTAGTTAATGATAGCGAAAATACATTGATTGCTGCAAGTTTTTATTCGTCTGAAGAAAAATCCTGTTCGAACGTGCTTCTGAAAACTGCCATTGCACCAGTTTTTGAAATTTCCTTGCTCATCAGAGCTGATTTCTATTGGGATTTCGTGGAGGATACAATGTTAAGAGGAAATGGTCCAACCGCCGTAAAGTCAAAACTTGGTTATTTGTTGTCTGGTCCAATTCCGACTTCTAATCGTCAACAGAGTAATGTAGGTATGTACAACATATTGACATCACGCAAACCAGAGGAGTTCAATTCAGAAAGATTTTGGGAATTAGAGTCGTTAGGAATAGATAGCAACACGACAGATGTTGAAACGGTAGACTATATGGAAACATATCAAAAGTCAGCAATTGAATTCCGAGAAAACAAGTACATAGCAAAGTTGCCATGGAAACCAGATCACGAACCCTTGCCTACCAACTTCTTCGTTACGAAACGAAGCACTGAAAACGTCATTCGAACATTAAGTCAAAATCCCGAAATGCTTAAGATATATGGACAGATAATCAAGGATCAAGAACGCCGAGGATTTATTGAGAAGGTTAAGGATCCCGATATTAGTAAAGGTATTGTACATTATATCCCGCATCATCCCGTTAAGGAGGATTCAACAACTACGCCCATAAGGATAGTTTACAATTGCAGCTGCCAACAGTCATCACAGTTACTGAGTCTTAATGATTACACACCCCCGATTTTAAACGACCTTACAAAGATTTTAATAAGATTTCGATTGAACCCCGTTGCCATAGTAACTGACATTGAGAAGGCATTTCACGGTGCCACATGTGGAGCAGGATCTGCTTACCCTTCCGGAGCACCTGAGATCACCCCCAGTTTTTGGTGGGGTTCGTGTTGCTTAGTCTTTAGTTTTTTATGTTGTGTCATCTGTACTATTATTTGTCAGATTTTGTCTGTTTGTCTTTTTATTTTTGGCCATGGCGTTGTCAGTTTGTTTTCGATCTATGAGTTTGACTGTCCCTCTGGTATCTTTCGTCCCTCTTTTACATGTCGGACTCCATGAACAGGACAGGACCGTGATGTCACACGATTTTTATGGTTAGATAACCCTGTTGATCCACAAAGCGATTTAGAGACATATAGGATCAAGTCTGTACTATTTGGAGCAATGTGCTCACCGTTTATCTTAAACGCTGTACTGCTAAAACACTTACAGCAAACAGAAAATGAAACTACTAAAATACTCACAAGGGATTTATATGTTGACAACATTTTATCTAGCATTTGCAATGAAACTCAAGCCGTAACTTATTTCAAGGAAGCGCGACTATTGATGTTAAATGCAGCATTTAATCTTCGCTCATGGATCTCAAACAACGAAAATGTGAGAAATCTAGCTATCAAGGAGGACGTGTTAGATACCGACAAAGAAGCAAAAATATTGGGTATGCGTTGGAATGTCGAAACGGATGAATTATCTTACGCAAAACGAGTTTTACCATCTGTATCATCACATATTACAAAACAAGAAATTCTGAAAGATTATCTTCAAAGATTTTTGACCTGCTACGATTTTTAAGCCCAGTTAGTATACGAGCAAAGATTTTGCAAGATTTGTGGAAAGAACGCTATGATTGGGATGAACCCCTACCCGAAAATCTACAGTTACAATGGAATGGATCTGGCAAAAGACATAGGAATTGTTACAAGTATGAAATTGCCTAGGCTATACTTTACCGGAAATACAAAATCAAGATCACTTCCTGTATTTGTCGACGCAAGCATGAAAGCGCATGGAGCTGTAACATACATGTATCTATCGAAAGGACATAGTGTCGCATTATTGATGGCAAAAACACGAGTTGCACCCGTTAAAAAGCTTACATTGCCACAATTAGAATTAATGGCCGCCGTAATAGGAGCTCGCTTGACACAACATCTTAAATCTACTTTGGAATGTACAGATGTGACACTTTGATCGGACAGCCAAATTGTACTTCATTGGCTAAATACGTCAAAACCGTTAAAACGCTTCGTATTGAATCGAATTAAAGAAATTAAGGAATTAACGGAAGAATGCAAATGGAAATACTGCCCGACAAATTGTAACCCTGCTGATTTGCTCACTCATGGTATAACGGCAAAACAGTTTATGGAGAGCGTATTATGGAAAACAGGACCGACTTGCCTTATTCAAAATTCAACCAACTTGGAAACAAATATACCTATTAACACAGCTTTATCCGTAATAGCAGACGACAATGAGGAGACATTAGATGAAAAAAGCAACACTGACAAAAATGATGATCTTCATTTTCGAATTGACAGAATTATAAATGCTTATAGGTATGGATCTTACGAGAAACTTTTGCGAGTGACAACTTATGTCTAAGGTTTTATTCAAAATTGTAAGACAACTAAGTCTATGAGAAACTAGATGAATTACAACAATCAACTATATTATGGATACGATGTTGCCAAGCGACGGCATACCCCTGTGAAGTACGTGCACTCACATTAAAAAATGTGCAGAATACCAAACTTCCACAACTTCGACAACTTCAATTATATTTAGATGAAAACAATTTAATGAGATGTAAAGGTAGAATTCATAATGCGCCTTTATCCGAATCAGCAAAACATCCTTATATTTTACCAGCAAATCACCGATTGTCAGAGCTAATAGTGTTGAACTCACACGAACTAGTTATGCATTCTGGAGTTAATGCCACCGTTACACAAATCTGTCAAACATTCTGGATACCGTCTTTGCCACAATTCACTCGAAAATTACTTCACAGATGTACAACTTGCAAAAAGATCAAAGGAAAACCGTACAGGGCACCAGACCCTCCACCGTTACAAAAAATAAGACTTCAAGAAGCACCGCCTTTCACAGTCAAAGAAAATTGAAGAAGCTTTATCTTCTTTTGGAGTCGAATGGAGAATCATTCCGAAGCGTGCATCCTGGTTTCGGAGGGTTGTTTGGAGAGATTAATTGCACTGACAAAAACAAATTTGAAAAAGACACTGGGACGTGCGTTAATCAATTTGGATATGTTACAGTCACAGAAATAGAGAAATTTCTTAACGACCTACCACTAACATATGTTTCTACAGACATTATTGATAGTGAACCATTAACACCCGTGCACCTGTTGTATGGACGCCGAGTTACAAAATTACCGTATCCACGTACCAAAATTGACAACATTAATGATACATATACATTGACTGCTTCAGATATTTCAAAGCGTGCTCAAAGATTATCTACACTTATTGAACATTTTTGGAACCGTTGGAAATTTGAGTACTTTACCTCACTTCGAGAATTTCATAAAAAGATCGGAGACGATAAGATTAACATTAAAGTAGGAGATGTAGTTCAAGTGCATGACGATAAACCGCGAATTAAATGGAAAACAGCAGTAGTGGAGGAAGTTGTTACTGGTAACAATGGTTTAGTGCGTTCAGCGATAATCAGAACACACAGTGGTCAAACTTCACATCCGATCGTCAAACTCTATCCTCTAGAAATAAACGAAGTACCACCATCTGATGAATAACCAAACAACGAATTTTTTTATTTTTAGCTCACCTGACCTGAAAGGTCAAGTGAGCTTTTCTCATCACTTTGCGTCCGTCGTCCGTCGTCCTGCGTCCGTCGTCCGTCGTCCGTAAACTTTTACAAAAATCTTCTCCTCTGAAACTACTGGGCCAAATTTGACCAAACTTGGCCACAATCATCATTGGGGTATCTAGTTTAAAAAATGTGTCCGATGACCCTGCCAACCAACCAAGATGGCCGCCATGGCTAAAAATAGAACATAGGGGTAAAATGTAGATTTTGGCTTATATCTCTGAAACCAAAGCATTTAGAGCAAATCTGACATGGGGTAAAATTGTTTATCAGGTCAAGATCTATCTGCCCTGAAATTTTCAGATGAATCGGACAACCCGTTGTTGGGTTGCTGCCCCTGAATTGGTAATTTTAAGGAAATTTTGCCGTTTTTGGTTATTATCTTGAATATTATTATAGATAGAGATAAACTGTAAACAGCAATAATGTTCAGCAAAGTATGATCTACAAATAAGTCAACTTGACCAAAATGGTCAGTTGACCCCTTAAGGAGTTATTGCCCTTTATAGTCAATTTTTAACCATTTTTCGTAAATTTTTGTAATCTTTTACAAAAATCTTCTCCTCTGAAACTACTGGGCCAAATTTGACCAAACTTGGCCACAATCATCATTGGGGTATCTAGTTTAAAAAATGTGTCCGATGACCCCGCCAACCAACCAAGATGGCCGCCATGGCTAAAAATAGAACATAGGGGTAAAATGTAGATTTTGGCTTATATCTCTGAAACCAAAGCATTTAGAGCAAATCTGACATGGGGTAAAATTGTTTATCAGGTCAAGATCTATCTGCCCTGAAATTTTCAGATGAATCGGACAACCCGTTGTTGGGTTGCTGCCCCTGAATTGGTAATTTTAAGGAAATTTTGCCGTTTTTGGTTATTATCTTGAATATTATTATAGATAGAGATAAACTGTAAACAGCAATAATGTTCAGCAAAGTATGATCTACAAATAAGTCAACTTGACCAAAATGGTCAGTTGACCCCTTAAGGAGTTATTGCCCTTTATAGTCAATTTTTAACCATTTTTCGTAAATTTTTGTAATCTTTTACAAAAATCTTCTCCTCTGAAACTACTGGGCCAAATTTGACCAAACTTGGCCACAATCATCATTGGGGTATCTAGTTTAAAAAATGTGTCCGATGACCCCGCCAACCAACCAAGATGGCCGCCATGGCTAAAAATAGAACATAGGGGTAAAATGTAGATTTTGGCTTATATCTCTGAAACCAAAGCATTTAGAGCAAATCTGACATGGGGTAAAATTGTTTATCAGGTCAAGATCTATCTGCCCTGAAATTTTCAGATGAATCGGACAACCCGTTGTTGGGTTGCTGCCCCTGAATTGGTAATTTTAAGGAAATATTGCCGTTTTTGGTTATTATCTTGAATATTATTATAGATAGAGATAAACTGTAAACAGCAATAATGTTCAGCAAAGTATGATCTACAAATAAGTCAACTTGACCAAAATGGTCAGTTGACCCCTTAAGGAGTTATTGCCCTTTATAGTCAATTTTTAACCATTTTTCATAAATTTTTGTAATCTTTTACAAAAATCTTCTCCTCTGAAACTACTGGGCCAAATTTGACCAAACTTGGCCACAATCATCATTGGGGTATCTAGTTTAAAAAATGTGTCCGATGACCCCGCCAACCAACCAAGATGGCCGCCATGGCTAAAAATAGAACATAGGGGTAAAATGTAGATTTTGGCTTATATCTCTGAAACCAAAGCATTTAGAGCAAATCTGACATGGGGTAAAATTGTTTATCAGGTCAAGATCTATCTGCCCTGAAATTTTCAGATGAATCGGACAACCCGTTGTTGGGTTGCTGCCCCTGAATTGGTAATTTTAAGGAAATTTTGCCGTTTTTGGTTATTATCTTGAATATTATTATAGATAGAGATAAACTGTAAACAGCAATAATGTTCAGCAAAGTATGATCTACAAATAAGTCAACTTGACCAAAATGGTCAGTTGACCCCTTAAGGAGTTATTGCCCTTTATAGTCAATTTTTAACCATTTTTCGTAAATTTTTGTAATCTTTTACAAAAATCTTCTCCTCTGAAACTACTGGGCCAAATTTGACCAAACTTGGCCACAATCATCATTGGGGTATCTAGTTTAAAAAATGTGTCCGATGACCCCGCCAACCAACCAAGATGGCCGCCATGGCTAAAAATAGAACATAGGGGTAAAATGTAGATTTTGGCTTATATCTCTGAAACCAAAGCATTTAGAGCAAATCTGACATGGGGTAAAATTGTTTATCAGGTCAAGATCTATCTGCCCTGAAATTTTCAGATGAATCGGACAACCCGTTGTTGGGTTGCTGCCCCTGAATTGGTAATTTTAAGGAAATTTTGCCGTTTTTATACGACCGCAAAAAAATTTTGTGGTCGTATATTGGTATGACGTTGGCGTCGTCGTCGTCGTCGTCGTCGTCGTCCGGCGTCGTCGTCGTCGTCGTCGTCCGGCGTCGTCGTCCGAATACATATTGGTTTTCGCACTCTAACTTTAGTTTAAGTGAATGGATCTTTTTGAAATTTGACCATAAGGTTAAATACCACAAAAGGAAGGTTGGGATTGATTTTGGGGGTTATGGTACCAACAGTTAAGGAATTGGGGGCCAAAAAGGGGCCAAAAATGAGCATTTTCTAGTTTCCAGACAATAACTGTGGAACAGTGTATGGATCTCTCTGAAATTATACTACAAGTTTCCATACCACAAAGGGATGGTTAGGATTTGCTTTGGGGGGTTATGGCTCAAACCGTTTAGGAATTAGGGGCAAAAAAGGGGGGAAAACAAGGTTGTCCTGGTTAATGGACAAATACTTTAGTACAAAACATAATTTAAAGCAGTGTAAGGGAGATAAATCAAATACATCATTGAAATTATCTCCCTTACACTGCTTTTAAATTATGTATAAAGTAATGGTTAATGAACAATAAAGATAATCTAAAACAGTGTAAGGGAGGTAATCCAAATACAACGTTTTGGTTACTTCCCTTACACTGCTTTTAAATTATGTTTAAAGAAATGCATATTTATAAAGGAAGACCAGTAAAAATATCTGCAAATGTTTTCATCTTTTTTTTTTACAAAAAAATCCATATGAAAGATTTGACACTATATTTTTATTAATTCTATTATAAAATAGATTAAGTTAGCACTATGGTAAATTTAAATGGGTAATTATGGTTGCCAACTCCATTGGAAATTTGAATTGAGATTATGACCATATCTTGAGGGAAAGAATTTTTTTGGGGGAAAAAGGGGGGGGGGGATAAAAAGAAATTGTGGGGGGCCAATTTTTTCTCATTTCAGATTTCAGAAATTAAAAAGAATTATTCTTCAAATATTTTTTTTTTTTCAAATTTCAAATATTGAAAAATTTCAAGAAATAATCTTTAATTGCACAGTATGGCGCATTAGATTTGTAAAATCTTTGATCACATTTATTTATTTGTTATGCCGAATCTAACAGTGTATTTAGGTTTTTAATTTTTGGTCCTGTTTTTTAAATTGGTCTACATTGAGGTCCAAAGGGTCCAAATTAAACTTAGTTTGATTTTAACAAAAATTGAATTCTTGGGGTTCTTTGATTTGCTGAATCTAAACATGTGTTTAGATTTTTGATTATGGGCCCAGTTTTCAAGTTGGTCCAAGATAGGGTCCAGTATTTAAACTTTGTTTGATTTCAACAAAAATTGAATATATGGGGTTCTTTGATATGCTGAATCTAAACATGTATTTAGATTTTTGATTATGGGCCCAGTTTTCAAGTTGGTCCAAATTGGGGTCCAAAATTAAACTTTGTTTGATTTCAACAAAAATTGAATATATGAGGTTCTTTGATATGCTGAATCTAACCATGTATTTAGATTTTTTATTTGTAGGCCCCGCTATCAAATTGGTTCATATTGAGGTCAAAAGGGTCCAAAATTAAACTTTGTTTGATTTCATCGAAAATTGAATTATTGGGGTTCTTTGATATGCCAAATCTAACCGTGTTTTTAGATTTTTAATTTGGGTCCCGTTTTTTAAATTGGTCTTCATTGAGGTCCAAAGGGTCCAAAATTAAACTTAGTTTGATTTTAACAAAAATTGAATTCTTGGGGTTCTTTGATATGCTGAATCTAAACATGTGTTTAGATTTTTGATTATGGGCCCAGTTTTCAAGTTGGTCCAAGTTGGGGTCCAAAATTATACTTTTTTTGATTTCAACAAAAATTGAATATATGGGGTTCTTTGATATGCTGAATCTAACCATGAATTTAGATTTTTTATTTGTGGGCCCCGTTATCAAATTGGTTCATATTGAGGTCAAAAGGGTCCAAAATTAAACTTTGTTTGATTTCATCAAAAATTGAATTATTGGGGTTCTTTGATATTCCAAATCTAACCGTGTATTTAGATTTTTAATTTTAAGTCCCGTTTTTTAAATTGGTCTACATTAAGGTCCAAAGGGTCCAAATTAAACTTAGTTTGATTTTAGCAAAAATTGAATTCTTGGGGTTCTTTGATATGCTGAATCTAAACATGTGTTTAGATTTTTGATTATGGGCCCAGTTTTCAAGTTTGTCCAAGTTGGGGTCCAAAATTAAACTTTGTTTGATTTTAACAAAAATTGAATATATGGGGTTCTTTGATATGCTGAATCTAACCATGTATTTTGATTTTGGACATTGGACCATAATAGGTAAATTAAAAAAATTCAAGTTCTTAGACCACATTCTTTCTGTGTCAGAAACCTATGCTGTGTCAAATATTTAATAACAATCCAAATTCAGAGCTGTATCAAGCTTGAATGTTGTGTCCATACTTGCCCCAACTGTTCAGGGTTCGACCTCTGCGGTCGTATCAAGCTGCGCCCCAGCGAAGCATTTTATTGGTTATTATCTTGAATATTATTATAGATAGAGATAAACTGTAAACAGCAATAATGTTCAGCAAAGTATGATCTACAAATAAGTCAACTTGACCAAAATGGTGAGTTGACCCCTTAAGGAGTTATTGCCCTTTATAGTCAATTTTTAACCATTTTTCGTAAATTTTTGTAATCTTTTACAAAAATCTTCTCCTCTGAAACTACTGGGCCAAATTTGACCAAACTTGGCCACAATCATCATTGGGGTATCTAGTTTAAAAAATGTGTCCGATGACCCCGCCAACCAACCAAGATGGCCGCCATGGCTAAAAATAGAACATAGGGGTAAAATGTAGATTTTGGCTTATATCTCTGAAACCAAAGCATTTAGAGCAAATCTGACATGGGGTAAAATTGTTTATCAGGTCAAGATCTATCTGCCCTGAAATTTTCAGATGAATCGGACAACCCGTTGTTGGGTTGCTGCCCCTGAATTGGTAATTTTAAGGAAATTTTGCCGTTTTTGGTTATTATCTTGAATATTATTATAGATAGAGATAAACTGTAAACAGCAATAATGTTCAGCAAAGTATGATCTACAAATAAGTCAACTTGACCAAAATGGTCAGTTGACCCCTTAAGGAGTTATTGCCCTTTATAGTCAATTTTTAACCATTTTTCATAAATTTTTGTAATCTTTTACAAAAATCTTCTCCTCTGAAACTACTGGGCCAAATTTGACCAAACTTGGCCACAATCATCATTGAGGTATCTAGTTTAAAAAATGTGTCCGATGACCCCGCCAACCAACCAAGATGGCCGCCATGGCTAAAAATAGAACATAGGGGTAAAATGTAGATTTTGGCTTATATCTCTGAAACCAAAGCATTTAGAGCAAATCTGACATGGGGTAAAATTGTTTATCAGGTCAAGATCTATCTGCCCTGAAATTTTCAGATGAATCGGACAACCCGTTGTTGGGTTGCTGCCCCTGAATTGGTAATTTTAAGGAAATTTTGCCGTTTTTGGTTATTATCTTGAATATTATTATAGATAGAGATAAACTGTAAACAGCAATAATGTTCAGCAAAGTATGATCTACAAATAAGTCAAACTTGACCAAAATGGTCAGTTGACCCCTTAAGGAGTTATTGCCCTTTATAGTCAATTTTTAACCATTTTTCGTAAATTTTTGTAATCTTTTACAAAAATCTTCTCCTCTGAAACTACTGGGCCAAATTTGACCAAACTTGGCCACAATCATCATTGGGGTATCTAGTTTAAAAAATGTGTCCGATGACCCCGCCAACCAACCAAGATGGCCGCCATGGCTAAAAATAGAACATAGAGGTAAAATGTAGATTTTGGCTTATATCTCTGAAACCAAAGCATTTAGAGCAAATCTGACATGGGGTAAAATTGTTTATCAGGTCAAGATCTATCTGCCCTGAAATTTTCAGATGAATCGGACAACCCGTTGTTGGGTTGCTGCCCCTGAATTGGTAATTTTAAGGAAATTTTGCCGTTTTTGGTTATTATCTTGAATATTATTATAGATAGAGATAAACTGTAAACAGCAATAATGTTCAGCAAAGTATGATCTACAAATAAGTCAACTTGACCAAAATGGTCAGTTGACCCCTTAAGGAGTTATTGCCCTTTATAGTCAATTTTTAACCATTTTTCGTAAATTTTTGTAATCTTTTACAAAAATCTTCTCCTCTGAAACTACTGGGCCAAATTTGACCAAACTTGGCCACAATCATCATTGGGGTATCTAGTTTAAAAAATGTGTCCGATGACCCCGCCAACCAACCAAGATGGCCGCCATGGCTAAAAATAGAACATAGGGGTAAAATGTAGATTTTGGCTTATATCTCTGAAACCAAAGCATTTAGAGCAAATCTGACATGGGGTAAAATTGTTTATCAGGTCAAGATCTATCTGCCCTGAAATTTTCAGATGAATCGGACAACCCGTTGTTGGGTTGCTGCCCCTGAATTGGTAATTTTAAGGAAATTTTGCCGTTTTTGGTTATTATCTTGAATATTATTATAGATAGAGATAAACTGTAAACAGCAATAATGTTCAGCAAAGTATGATCTACAAATAAGTCAACTTGACCAAAATGGTCAGTTGACCCCTTAAGGAGTTATTGCCCTTTATAGTCAATTTTTAACCATTTTTCATAAATTTTTGTAATCTTTTACAAAAATCTTCTCCTCTGAAACTACTGGGCCAAATTTGACCAAACTTGGCCACAATCATCATTGGGGTATCTAGTTTAAAAAATGTGTCCGATGACCCCGCCAACCAACCAAGATGGCCGCCATGGCTAAAAATAGAACATAGGGGTAAAATGTAGATTTTGGCTTATATCTCTGAAACCAAAGCATTTAGAGCAAATCTGACATGGGGTAAAATTGTTTATCAGGTCAAGATCTATCTGCCCTGAAATTTTCAGATGAATCGGACAACCCGTTGTTGGGTTGCTGCCCCTGAATTGGTAATTTTAAGGAAATTTTGCCGTTTTTGGTTATTATCTTGAATATTATTATAGATAGAGATAAACTGTAAACAGCAATAATGTTCAGCAAAGTATGATCTACAAATAAGTCAACTTGACCAAAATGGTCAGTTGACCCCTTAAGGAGTTATTGCCCTTTATAGTCAATTTTTAACCATTTTTCGTAAATTTTTGTAATCTTTTACAAAAATCTTCTCCTCTGAAACTACTGGGCCAAATTTGACCAAACTTGGCCACAATCATCATTGGGGTATCTAGTTTAAAAAATGTGTCCGATGACCCCGCCAACCAACCAAGATGGCCGCCATGGCTAAAAATAGAACATAGGGGTAAAATGTAGATTTTGGCTTATATCTCTGAAACCAAAGCATTTAGAGCAAATCTGACATGGGGTAAAATTGTTTATCAGGTCAAGATCTATCTGCCCTGAAATTTTCAGATGAATCGGACAACCCGTTGTTGGGTTGCTGCCCCTGAATTGGTAATTTTAAGGAAATTTTGCCGTTTTTGGTTATTTTCTTGAATATTATTATAGATAGAGATAAACTGTAAACAGCAATAATGTTCAGCAAAGTATGATCTACAAATAAGTCAACTTGACCAAAATGGTCAGTTGACCCCTTAAGGAGTTATTGCCCTTTATAGTCAATTTTTAACCATTTTTCATAAATTTTTGTAATCTTTTACAAAAATCTTCTCCTCTGAAACTACTGGGCCAAATTTGACCAAACTTGGCCACAATCATCATTGGGGTATCTAGTTTAAAAAATATGTCCGATGACCCCGCCAACCAACCAAGATGGCCGCCATGGCTAAAAATAGAACATAGGGGTAAAATGTAGATTTTGGCTTATATCTCTGAAACCAAAGCATTTAGAGCAAATCTGACATGGGGTAAAATTGTTTATCAGGTCAAGATCTATCTGCCCTGAAATTTTCAGATGAATCGGACAACCCGTTGTTGGGTTGCTGCCCCTGAATTGGTAATTTTAAGGAAATTTTGCCGTTTTTGGTTATTATCTTGAATATTATTATAGATAGAGATAAACTGTAAACAGCAATAATGTTCAGCAAAGTATGATCTACAAATAAGTCAAACTTGACCAAAATGGTCAGTTGACCCCTTAAGGAGTTATTGCCCTTTATAGTCAATTTTTAACCATTTTTCGTAAATTTTTGTAATCTTTTACAAAAATCTTCTCCTCTGAAACTACTGGGCCAAATTTGACCAAACTTGGCCACAATCATCATTGGGGTATCTAGTTTAAAAAATGTGTCCGATGACCCCGCCAACCAACCAAGATGGCCGCCATGGCTAAAAATAGAACATAGAGGTAAAATGTAGATTTTGGCTTATATCTCTGAAACCAAAGCATTTAGAGCAAATCTGACATGGGGTAAAATTGTTTATCAGGTCAAGATCTATCTGCCCTGAAATTTTCAGATGAATCGGACAACCCGTTGTTGGGTTGCTGCCCCTGAATTGGTAATTTTAAGGAAATTTTGCCGTTTTTGGTTATTATCTTGAATATTATTATAGATAGAGATAAACTGTAAACAGCAATAATGTTCAGCAAAGTATGATCTACAAATAAGTCAACTTGACCAAAATGGTCAGTTGACCCCTTAAGGAGTTATTGCCCTTTATAGTCAATTTTTAACCATTTTTCGTAAATTTTTGTAATCTTTTACAAAAATCTTCTCCTCTGAAACTACTGGGCCAAATTTGACCAAACTTGGCCACAATCATCATTGGGGTATCTAGTTTAAAAAATGTGTCCGATGACCCCGCCAACCAACCAAGATGGCCGCCATGGCTAAAAATAGAACATAGGGGTAAAATGTAGATTTTGGCTTATATCTCTGAAACCAAAGCATTTAGAGCAAATCTGACATGGGGTAAAATTGTTTATCAGGTCAAGATCTATCTGCCCTGAAATTTTCAGATGAATCGGACAACCCGTTGTTGGGTTGCTGCCCCTGAATTGGTAATTTTAAGGAAATTTTGCCGTTTTTGGTTATTATCTTGAATATTATTATAGATAGAGATAAACTGTAAACAGCAATAATGTTCAGCAAAGTATGATCTACAAATAAGTCAAACTTGACCAAAATGGTCAGTTGACCCCTTAAGGAGTTATTGCCCTTTATAGTCAATTTTTAACCATTTTTCGTAAATTTTTGTAATCTTTTACAAAAATCTTCTCCTCTGAAACTACTGGGCCAAATTTGACCAAACTTGGCCACAATCATCATTGGGGTATCTAGTTTAAAAAATGTGTCCGATGACCCCGCCAACCAACCAAGATGGCCGCCATGGCTAAAAATAGAACATAGGGGTAAAATGTAGATTTTGGCTTATATCTCTGAAACCAAAGCATTTAGAGCAAATCTGACATGGGGTAAAATTGTATATCAGGTCAAGATCTATCTGCCCTGAAATTTTCAGATGAATCGGACAACCCGTTGTTGGGTTGCTGCCCCTGAATTGGTAATTTTAAGGAAATTTTGTCGTTTTTGGTTATTATCTTGAATATTATTATAGATAGAGATAAACTGTAAACAGCAATAATGTTCAGCAAAGTATGATCTACAAATAAGTCAACTTGACCAAAATGGTCAGTTGACCCCTTAAGGAGTAATTGCCCTTTATAGTCAATTTTTAACCATTTTTCGTAAATTTTTGTAATCTTTTACAAAAATCTTCTCCTCTGAAACTACTAAGACAAATTTAACCAAAATTGTCCACAATCATCATTAGGGTATCTAGTTTAAAAAATGTGTCCGATGACCCTGCCCGCAAACCAAGATGGCCGACATGGCAAAAAAATAATACATAGGGTAAAATGCAGTTTTTGGCTCATATCTCTGAAACCAAAGCATTTAGAGCGAATCTGATGGTATAAAATTGTTCATTAGGTCAAGATCTATCTGCCCTGAAATTTTCAGACCAATCAGGCAACATGTTGTTGGGTTGCTGCCCCTGAATTGGTAATTTTAAGAAAATTTTGCAGCTTTTGGTTATTATCTTGAATATTATTATAGATAGAGATAAACTGTAAACAGCAATATTGTACAGCAAAGTTAGATTTACAAATAAGTCAACATGACCAAAATTGTCAATTGACCCCTTAAGGAGTTATTGCCCTTTATAGTCAATTTTTTACAATTTTCATAAATTTTGTAAGTTTTTGTAAATTTTTACAAAATATTTTCCACTGTAACTACTGGGCCAAGTTCATTATAGATAGAGATAATAGTAAGGAGCAAGAATGTTCAGTAAAGTAAGATCTACAAACACATCACCATCACCAAAACACAATTTTGTCATGAATCCATCTGTGTCCATTGTTTAATATGCACATAGACCAAGGTGAGCGACACAGGCTCTTTAGAGCCTCTAGTTTGTGTTATGAAGAGACAGTAATTCTTGCAAGTGTAAAATTAAATTTCTTTTCTTTATTGATGAACATTTAAAGTAATATTCCATTGTTTGTACATAAATACACTTTGCAAGCCCCAGTATGTTGAGAATAGTACAAAGTAATAACGTTACGTTTCCCATATTTACTTTCACATGTTTGTGACGTTACTTGCACCTTGTATGGGCTTCGCCATTGTAAATAATATACGCAAAGTAAACACAACGCAAAGTACATATACGACTTACTTAGTTTATTCCATACAACCAAAGGGAAATTCAAACTCATAAGTCGAAAATAAACTTGCAACGCCATGGCAAAAAAACCAAAACAGACCAAAAGACAAACTGTAAAGCTGTCTGGCTTGCTTGTTAGGGTATGAAAAAAACAAAGTTTTTTTTTGCTAGTTGAATAAATCATGAAAATTGATCTTATGAAGTCCAATGTGTTTGTGAAATTGCAATGCAAACATTTTTCATGGACATTTCCATTAATTTTTATGCACTAGTTTGACAGAAGAAATGATTCTTTTCTAGCCAAGGATTATGATGAGACATGATCTGAGATGCAAATCTGTTTTTCAAATATTTTTTTTCACATCAAGGAGACATTTTGAGTTCAACAATAAAAAAATCTTTATTTTATATAAATAAACTAATTTAATAAGAGTGTTGAAATTTTTTTCATTTTCAGGCATTTGGAAAAGTTACGTGAATTGCATGGAATTGAAATACTGCACAGTTGTATGAACTACATCAAGACATGATAGCAAATTCGTTTGTTTTAAGTATTACAGGACAATCTTCAAAGTGTATATATAAATATAATTGTTGACAGTCGTGTCATTTCTCTTTTAAAAATTGATTTTATAATATTATTTCTGTGAAAATAAATCTGTGGAATTTTTTTAAGAACTTTATCCTTCCTTGTGGTTTGTCTGTTAACATAGTCAAGATTTCAACCTTTTTATTTTTAAGAGAGTTTGTAAGTACACCAAATGTGAACATATTGCATAGTTTTGACTTGGGCTTTATTTATTTACCCTTGTCCATCTGAGGGTCTGACTCACGTTCAGGTACTATCAACAACAAAAAAAGGAAGAACATAGCAAAGGGACAATCAAAATCCAATGTCCAAAAATTGAAGACAACCAGGGATGGGCACGATTACTGACAAATGTAATCGATTAATAATCGATTACATGAAGGTATTTTGTGCAATCGATTAATAATCGATTACTCAGATTTTTGTATGTAATCGATTGCAATCGATTACTTTATCAAAAGTAATTACATTACTTTTTGATTACTGTCAATTACATGCTTCAAAATTTAAAAAAAAATAAAGTAAGTTAAACACTATCATGTTGATCAACGTTTGTATAGTAGGTGTTTAGAACTTTACCAAAAAAACAGCATTTAAATCATTGTTTCCAAATTATAAGTTGACAGTTGTTATCTAGATGGAATCTCTTACTGAGGATCAGAATTATTAAAAAAATCTTGAAATTTGACTTTCAACATGAATTAGAGATGACATTGCATTCCATCAATCACTTATATATATGTTTAAAGTTTTTTTCAATAATTTTGCTTTCGTACTGACTTAACTTAGCTTTTTTGTTTTTATTCATTAAAAGCAGGTATATTTTAGCATAGTTATTTACAATGTTGGAAGTTTTCTCAGAAGAAAATATAAAAAAGTAGAATTATTAATTAGTTCAGCTAATTTTAAGGATCAAAATTTATAATTATAATGACAAACATGATTTAATCCTTTTGTTTGAAAACCACCTTTATTATAGGTTATAAAACTGCCAATGGAGTACAATTTATAACCTGGGGCAAAATAATGTAAATCTCCATCTTAATTAGACAAACAGTAATTGAAATAAAAACAAAGTATGTGTCTTATATAGTGATTAGAAGACTTTGATCATCTGATTAGTAAAGACAAGTTTGTTAAGATTTTTTTATTCTATAATAAAATTATAAACAGTATATATTTATAGTGTCAACAAGGGACACATGTATCTTTTTCTGAAAAGAATTTCAATGCATAGGTATTGGTTCATTGTTAAAAGGATTTTGTGTACTTATTTTTCATATACATGTATATCTTAACATTATAAGAAATCAACCGTTTTATCTATTCTAAGCTTAAATCTTATTGAAAATTATGCTTTTAGGAAATTTAATACAAATAAGCTTACTACTTTAAGGAAGTACAGAACTTAACTTAAGACACATTTCTTATTTTAAATCTATTTTCTTATTTTAATATAAAAGGTGTTGACTTATTGACAAGCACATCAATCCATTTGTTTCAAAAGCTAGATATAAAGTAAATTATGGTAGGGGATCTGGTTGATCATAATGCAGCTTGAGACAATAGATAGAAATATAAAGGCAGTTGATAAACTCTTAAGTCATATCAGTACTTCAAAGTGATGAATACATACATGTTTTCATTTAAAATACTAGGTTATATTTCATCAAACTATTTTACTAAAGTAATCGAAATGTAATCGAAAGTAATCGATGATTACATCATGATTTTTGCTGTAATCGATTAAATTACGATTACATGTAATCGAAAATGTCTTCGATTACAGATTACTGTCGATTACTGGAAAAAATGTAATCAATTACAATCGATTACGATTACAGATTACGATTACCCCATCCCTGAAGACAACACCATAGGATATTGCAAAATGAAAGAGAATGAAAGACAACAGAAAACTGTTAGAGATTGAGCAAAATGTTTTATTACTAATAACAGGAGTGATCTCATGTTTGCAAGGGACATAAGCAATTCCTGTAAGTTTTGCATTACAATAAAAATCGCTGAAACCTAATGTTATACCCTCTACTTTAATGATACATGGTATTTTACAATATTTAACCACTCTAAATTGATTTTTTCAAATACATGTATATTGCATATGAGACACACAGCATTATTACAATTTTGAAAAATTAACTTAAGATTAGTGAGTAGAATACTTAGGATGGTTGTCACCTCATAAACATCCCATCTTGAACACCTAATGCATTGCTACAACTAAGGTTCCCACCATTTCAAATTAAATTGGACCCATAAGGATTTTGCTTCTCTGATAAGTTCCCTTTACCACTGCACTATAGATAAGGATTTAGTTTAGTTTATAAGTTCAGAAATATTCTGCTAAAATCTATTCTTCTGAGGTTATAAGAGAAAAAAAAACCTTATTCAATATTGCTACACTTTTTACAATTGGACAAAATAAGCCAGACACTGGGTATAAGAATTAGCTAAAAAAAAATAGTTTGGACCAAGAGGTTGCCATGAGGGAATAATGTCATACCCCAATGCAACAAAGCTAGGAGCATATAATGTTTTCAAGATGTCGGCTTATGTGTCAGTCAGTCCTTTTTTGTTATCTTCATTTACATCTTTATTAAATTTTGATGGAAGTTTCCACTCATCAAAATCTCAGATGAGTTCGATAAAAGAAAAATGTGAAATTGGTGACCATTTTCTGGAAGGGGATGTGTAAAAATATTCCAAATTAAAGATTGTCAATGGAAAACTCCTTCAATTTTTGGTGAGCTATTGCCATCACTTGGCATTCATCATCTTCCCCGTAAAATTATTAAAATTGTTCTCCTGAAACCATTTGAGCAAATTCACAAACTTGGGCTAAGTGATCTTTAGAATATCTGATATAAAGTTTGTGATTTTTGTTCCTGCCAATTCATCAACATGCCTGCAGTCATTGCTTTAGATAAAATGTGGGTTAATGCAAATAGTTTTTAATTTCTTGAAAATTATAATAGAAAAAATCTGATGTGGGCAAAAATGTTCAGAATTTCAAGACCATCTTCTTGTTTCACCAAAATAATGATAACTCCTTTGGAGTTATAACCCTTAAATCCCCATTTTTACAATATTTTTTGTGATTTGCCAATTATCTTAAAGACTATAATAGAACGAGAGAAACTGAGAATAGCAAAATATATCAAACAGATAGGAATTTCAAATAAGTCAATATATTTTAACTACATATAAGAGTTATTACATTTCTTCCCAATTTAATGTGTTTTTTAAATTATCTTGAAAACTATAATAGATAGAGAGAAACTATTTACATAAAAAATTATCAGGATGAGAACAACAAATAAGTCAACATTATTGAAACTGATAAATGACTCCTTATAGGAGTTATTGTTCTTAGGTTAAGGGATTATTTTTACCCCCTTTTGAGCTTTTAGCTATTGTTTTCAAAATTATAACAGACAGAAAGAAACAGTAAACAGCAAAAATGATCAGCAATATAATTAGGGCCCCGCCCCCTATAGTGATCAGTCTGTCCGTCCGTCCGTAACAAATTGTGTCCACTCTATATCTAGAGAACCGTTATGATTTCAAAGTTTTTACTTGACATTCATATTAACCAACACCAGAGGGTGTGTTGAAATGTTTGTACAACTTCCTAGGTCAAAGTTCAAGGTCAAAAACTTTGGTTTCAGTTGACAACCCCATTTCCCATGGTAAAGATCGTGTCTGCTATATATCTTGAGAACCGTTATGATTTCAAAGTTTATACTTGACATGTAAATTAACCAACACCAGAGGGTGTGTCATAATGTATGTACAACTTCATAGGTCAAAAACTTTGGTTTCAGTTGACAACCCCATGTCTTATGGTAAAGATCGTGTCCGCTCTATATCTTGAGAACCGTTATGATTTCAATGGTACAGATCATGTCCGCTCTATTTCTTGAGAACCGTTATGATTTCAAAGTTTATACTTGACATGTATATAAACCAACACCAGAGGGTGTGTCTTAATGTTTGTACAATTTCCTAGGTCAAAATTCAAGGTTAAAAACTTTGGTTTCAGTTGACAACCCCATGTCCTATGGTAAAGATCGTGTCCGCTCTATATCTTGAGAACCGTTATGATTTCAAAGTTTATACTTGACATGTATATTAACCAACACTAGAGGGTGTGTCATAATGTATGTACAACTCCCTAGGTCAAAGGTCCGTCCGTCTGTCTGTCGGTCCGTCCGTCCGTCCGTCCGTCCGTCCGTCCGTCCGTCCCTTACAAATTGTGTCCGCTCTATATTTTGAGAACCGTTATGACTCTATCCCAAATTGTTGATGTCCCTACACGTAAAGACAATATTCTTGATCTGATAATTACAAACTTACCAAACCAAGTACAGCGTGTTGAAGTTATTCCCGGCCTATCTGATCATGATATTGTGTTTGCCGAATTTGCAATAGCTTCATCAAAACTTAAACAAAAGCCTAGAATAATTCCATTATATAAAAAAGCAAATTGGAGCACAATTAAACAAGAAATAAACACTTCATATAAACATCTCTTTGAAAACCAGCAACATCTTTGTGTAAATGAAATGTGGAACTGTTTTAAAGCAACAATAATAAAAGCAGTGAAAGATCACATCCCACATAAAACAGCAAAAACAAAGGACGGTCACCCATGGATCACAATGGAAACAAAACGGCTCATTAGAAAAAGAGATAGACTTTATAAAAAATCTAAAAAATCCCGGAATGCATCTCTTACTAAAAAATACAAAGAGGTTAAACACCAGGTACAGAAATGTATACGAAAATCATTGAAAGCATCATATTACCACCACAAGATGGAACAAATTTTGGCACTATGAAAAAATTTTGGACCTATATTAAACATAAAAAAAACTGATTATAGTGGTATTACTGAAATTAAACAAGATGGCTAACTCTTAACTGATCCACTACAAAAAGCTGGGGCACTTAACGCACAATTCTAGTCTGTATTCACACCAGCATCAAATATCTCCCATAAAGAATTTGTCAAACAGTGTAACATGCCACAGAATACTCTTTTTCCACCCATAACAAAA